GCATAAATTTGAATAATACTCATATTAACGGGTCTTCCTTGTAGGTGTATGGATATTATCCTATCACTGACATCATTGTACTTCAGGACAGATCTTGAAACATCCTTTGTGATGATGAATGTCATGCCATTCCTCTTCAAACTGTCATTCCCCATGAGGAGACTGTAATCAACTCCATGGTGGAATCCATTGGAGCAGCTGAGTAGCTGCCTTAAGGATGTGGTCTGCTTCTAGTATATAAGAAGACAGCTTTGAGAAAGGTCTCTGGAGCTTTTTGGCACACTTGGATCCTGTGTGTAGCTGAGTCTTCATTCAGCAGTCTGCTGTGTTGTGTGATAATCTTGAGATGGTGCCATTTTACTTGTTGCCCCTGGGTTTGTTAGCCTCATGAGCCAACAGCTGCCTGAGTGAAGAGACACTCCAGCTCCAGTGGACCGAGAGCAAGAGGCAGAGCTGAAGCCCAAGGTTGACAGGCTTTCACCCAGCCCTTAGAGTTGGCACTTTGAACTCAGACTTCTAGACTCATAAATGGTAAGAGAATAAATCCGTTTCTTAAAACCACACACTTGTGGTATTTCTGTTAGAGTGACACTAGCAAACCAAAACACCCTCTCAGATTTTCTGACCCATCCACTTCCATCAACCTGTCTTTAACCTATCTCACTGACTTCAAGAGCTACCAGAACTTAGTATTTCTAATGCCTATTTTCATATATAACTAGTTTTGGTGAGAGTTTTGTTTCCCAAAGTATGGGGCTCCTAATTTTAGGTGGGACAGGTTCATGGCATAGAAGCTCATGGAATCATGTAGTGAAAAGCTTGTTTATTTTTCTCTGAGTTCCTCAAAGATAAAGTCTCAAGGCAGTGGTGATAGATCTCTAATGCTGGCTGAGTTCCCTTTGTAGGAAGGAGTGAACAGGACTGGGGCTTCATGCCTTTAGTAGATCCAGTATTCCTTGAAATTGAAATAATATCTGATTATTGTAGTGTTGTTTTACTTTATTGTATGAGTGCCTTCTGATATTGACAATTGGTGCTGGTTTTCTGATTAACCCAGAGAAAGAAAAAGTTGTAAAAGAAAGTATTAAGTAAAAATATTAAGTAAATAAAAATATTAAGTAAAAATATTAAAATATTTTAAATAAAAATATTAAGTAAATAAACACAATTCAGGAGGTATGGGGATGTGACTAGCCACACATGCACACATACACACAAAGTCCTGAAAGCAGTAGTCTACAAGGGAGAAAGGTTTATATAACAACTCATAACATCAACCGGGGGAGAAGGAGGATTTGTGTAATGTCAGCCTCCCTTTGGCCCCGGAGGGCATTGATGTTTACCCAACCCATGTATAAAAATACCTTGCGGCATATATTTTAGTCAGCAAGTATTCTACCATGGTGGAAATGATTTACTGAAACTTAGACCTTCTCCTGACATCCAGCCAAAGCTTTGATTTGGAAAACCAAGAAGTCCTATTTAGTTTCTGCCGTCATTGTTACTGACCTACCCTTACTGGGTAATTAGTGACATATAAAGTTCTTTAATTTTCCCTTCTTCTTTCATTTGTGCACCATGAGATTGTTTTTCTCCCCTCCACGGTCACTCAACTACGAATTTGCTGAGCCAAATATTTGGTTTTTAATAAATGGAGGAGGTCACCTTGTCCGTACTTCACTTTCTTCACACATGCAAAAAAGACTGTATCTTCCACTGTGTCGATGTTTCTTGGCATGAGAGCAGTGGAAGTTTCTGTAGGGTGAACATCTGGCAGCCAAAAGTGTCCTGTAGGTTTTTTTTGCAGTGAAACATATGTTTTGAGGTGACCATTCTGCACAGATTCTGTTAGGGTTTCAGAATATTTGTAACCTGTTATTTTAAATTCTGAACATATTTGTAGCTCTAGAGGTATGGAAATAAATTGTGTTTTCTTGGAAAATGTGTGTGTCTGGGATGTGCGACAAGAGTTGCAACCTTAAACAAAATTTCCAGGCATTTACAATTGAGCCATGCTAGTAAAAATATGTTTATTTAGACATTCAAATCCTAGGGTGTCCCTGTAAATATCCTAAACAATGTGTGTTACATGAGCTTTCTTTGCTAATGCGCTTTAGCTTTGAATGTTTTTAGTTCTGTCTCCTGGAGTGTTAATGTACTACAGAGAAAGTTGAACTCAGATAATGAGTCTTATTTTCTGTTCAGCACATTTGGCAATGGTTGTTCTTACATCCAAGAGAATTGTTTCTAATATAAAAGTCACTTCACATTTGATAGGTGAAGCTCCTTACTTTGAATATTCATAGTAATATAGAGGTCCTTTCCCATTTGGCAATTAGAAGACAGAAAAGACAGAGGTATACTCTTCACTCACTGTTCATTCATCTTTATATTTAACAGACATCAGGTGGTTATTGAATGTCTGCAAATCCATTTGGTAGTAATGGGAGGTCAAAGAGAGTTGGGGACTGTGAACTTTATTTCATCAACAATACACAAAAAGCATGATACATTGCTGCTTTTGTCAAAATATAATATTCCAAAAATTAAAAACTGTATCTTTTATTCAAATATACAGTAAGTTTTTTTAAAAAAAAAAAACTTTATTAATGAGGCAAATAATAAGATGATATAGCTGGTTCGAAGCAAGATATGGGGAAAATATCAGGAAAGGTAGGAAAGAAAGTTAGAAGGGAGGAAGGAAAATAGATACAAAAATAAATAAGATAGATACATGGGTAGATATGGTAAAAGGAAGAAAGACTACTAGAATAAGATTGCAAAATCAAATATAAAACTGATACATGTCTTACAGACAGTAAAGTTATAACCATTGTGGTTATATGTTCTACCAGGCAGAAATCTTTTGTGACTGTACTAGACAAAAATTATTTGTAACTTACCAGTCTTCTACACTCTTTATATAGTCTAGGTCTAATCAACAGTAAGTACAAAAAAAAAAGTTGCATTTCTCTGGAGTGTCTGATGACTCTTAGATGGGCTTGTCAGTCAGTGTTGTAGTCCAGTGCTGTCCAATAGAACTCTGTAATTATTCTATTTATGCACTGTCCAGTATGGTAGCCATTGGCCATATGTGGCTCTTGAGCATTTGAAATATGGGTAGTGTGGCTGAGGAATTGAATTTCTTTTATTTTGTCTAATTTTAATTAAATTTTATTTAAATAGCCACATGTAACCAGTGACTACCATATTGGACAGCACAGCTCTGATATGTCATCACATGGGTGGGCACACAGTAATTTTTCCTGCTTATTTCCAATTTTGGATATATATATATTTTTTCTGAATACTTTGCAAATTAAATCATATCTTAAATGCTGTAACAGGAGCCAAATATGTGAGAGAACTTGGAGAAGATGCTTTTGAAAGGATCTTATTTTTTCATGAGGCAAATTCTTTTGCAAATGTGATGCCTCACATATTGGGTTTCTTGATAGTAGGTTCACCTAAAATTTCTCTGGCCAGCAAGGGAAATGAAGCTTAAGCCTGTTTGGAAGGAACCCAACTCTGCATTATATTTTCCAAGTACATCTTCTTGGTATTAATTTTCCTTAGCAGGATAATAGCAGTCATGTCTAGTTTTGATTAAAAGGGGTTTTCTGGTTTGCAACAAAGCAAGAGCCACTATTAATATTTCACAAGGGTTTTAAAGTTAAAATAAGTTAACATTTCTGCTACCATCATTTCATTAAGTGAAAAGAGCAATCAATGTATTGATACAGTTGGCTTTGATTTCTCATTAAGCTCAGTTGTTTTACTTAGTTTTCTCATCTCCTTGCTTGCTTGTAGGGATTTTTCCGTAGAAGTATTCAGAAGAACATGATTTACACTTGTCATCGAGATAAGAACTGTGTTATTAATAAAGTCACCAGGAATCGATGCCAGTACTGTCGACTCCAGAAGTGCTTTGAAGTGGGAATGTCCAAAGAATGTAAGTGGACTCTCAGTTTTTTTTTTCCTGTTTACCTTAGCTATATGATTTGCTCAGCTTCCAAAAATCAAAATGTAGAGGACTTCAGTGCACAGAATTCAAACATGCCACTAGTGATATATTGCCAAGGGTAGGTGTAAACAGAAATGACATGAACATAGAATAACTGTGGAGATTTTCAGATAAAACTTGAGTGGCCATTGGTGAAAAGGCAGGGGCTGGATGTCATGAATGGCAGATTTGTATTCTGGAGTCATTACTAACTCACTGTGTGCACTCAATTATATCACACAAACCACCTGATGACTCCATTTCTCTATCTTACCAATGGGAATAAGGAATTTTGTCTGTATCATTAAGGAGAAAATGAGACAAGAGGCATGAATGTTAACAGTAGTAACGATCTTGTTTTTTTGTGAATAAAGGGGAAGGAAGGAAACTTTTCTTGTGGAAAAACATTTAGAAATTTTGGGCCATGGCATTTTTCCAAGCTTGATTTAGCTTTTCATGCCAAGCCATCCTCAATTCCAGACAATAATGCATTTTATTAACGCAAAGGAGAAGAGTTTAATAAATCCAAAATTGGTTAGTTGGTCTGTAAACATCTGCTAATCTTTATTTGATATATTCATGCTTTAATACAGACAGAATATATAGCCCACAAAAAAAAAAAAAAAATTCACTACTTTCATTCTCTGGTACTTTCAAATATTGTTGTTGTTGTTGTTGTTATATGCCATGGAGTCGGACCCGACTCATAACGACCCTCCTTGGGTTTCTGAGGCAGTATTACTACGGAATTAGATTACCCCTTCTTCCTTCTGAGGAGTGGCTGTTGGGTTTGAACTGCCAGCCTTCTGATTAGCAGTCAAGTGCCTTAGGTACTACGCTACCAGAGCAGCAAAGTGACAGGCAAATTGATCCACTCAGAAAGGAATATTGTTGTTGTTGTTATGTGCCATTGAGTCAGACCCGACTCATAGTGACCCCTCCTTGTGTTTCTGAGGCAGTAGCACTGCCGAAGTGGATTGCCCAACCTTCCTTCCAAGGAATGGCTGGTGGGTTTGAACCGCAGCCTTCTGGTTAGCAATCAAGTGCCTTAGGCACTACACTTTCAGAGCTCCCCAGAAAGGTATAAGGAATATGTTAATGATGTGTGCCAACTCTTAGGGGTTTTCTGCTTCTTCATTCATTGTATCATTTGAGGATTAGGTAGGAGCTCTGGTGGCATAGTGGTTAAAGCATTTGGCTGCTAACAAAAAGATCAGTGGTTTGAATCTACCAGCTGCTCATGGGAGAAAGATGAGACAGTCTGCTCCCATAAAGATCTGTAGCCTTGGACACCCTATGGGACAGTTGTATTCTGTCCTAAAGGGTCGCAATAAGTCAGAATCCACTCAATGGCAGTAGGTTTTGAAGGCCTGCTGTGTGTCATGCACTGGATTAGGGAACTCTGGAGATGTGTGGGACATGGCTGTTGCCCTCCAAGAATGTAGAGTGAAAAGGTAGGCAATGCATTCATGATCCTACAGTGAAGGTAGAAGAATTATTTATAAGCCAGGGGTTCTTAGATTTCTTAACTGGGAAGTACGGCCTTTGGGAGAGACCTACTGAGGAGGAACAGCCTTGTAGCCAAGCAGCATTGCATGATGGTGCTCAGCTGGGACACTGGCCCTCTGTTGAGAATTACTGCTTGTGGACTGTAGGGGATGTTTCTTGGTTGTCCACCCAACATCCTTCCCATCCCATTACCTGTTGTAACTGTACAAGCTTTGAGTTTACTTTTCTGTCTCTTGTGTTATACTTTTGGTAAAGCTTCAGGGTTGGAATCAACTTAGTATAGTCAAGAAATCAGCATATTTCATGCATAGTTGCAGTCATTGATTCATGGTGTGAATGTGTAACCTAGGCCAAACCAATGAAAGTGAATTTAAGACTCATGTTTAGAATATTCTCACAGTAGTGCCCTCCCTTTCAATACATGAGAATGAGTAAGCAAGTAGACACAGACACTACTGCCAAGTATCCTCCAACCCCAAGGGAAGTCAGCTGAGAACAAAACTGGCACTGTGGATGGAGGAATGGAAAGATATAATCTGGGCTGTTAATGGCATCAATGAGTACACTAAACCAATCAACCTTGAAACCTCTGGCTCCAGATGATTTTGTTATACTTGCCAAGAATTACTCTTCAAGTTGGTTTAGGTTGGAGTTCCTGGTCATATTTAGAGTCCTGATGAATAAGAATGGACTGAGCCATCAGACAGGCCATCAGACATCTTGCCTGTACCATTCTTTCTGCAGATGGTCTTTTTCCTCTGGGTGCTTCTGTCTACAGCTGATGGGTCATTTTCCACATTTCTGCTGGGATCCTTTGATCTCTTTAAGTTTATAAATATTGACTTATTTGATATCAATGAATGTAGGTATATAAAGCTAATGCCTAGTTTAGGCCCAAATCCTTCCGTTGAAGAGAAAAGCATGATACTGATATGTAGTGAACAGATTATGTATGTGTGATATAATTATGTATAATCTGTAAGTGAGACCCATAGCTCAGCCACCTAATGCTCCATTTTCATTCTAACATTGTGGGCATGGATGCCATACTGCATTTCTGTGGGAGAATTTCAGTTAAGGCTGAAATTATAAATGAGTAAGCCAGATGTGGACTTGGGGAAAAGCAGTATTTTGCATTTATTTTGTGTGGGCTGGAGACTCATTTCCTGCTTACGTTACTTAAAACCCATATTCTGTGACTCTGAAAAGCTGGTAGCTTGGTAGGCAATTAAAAAAAAGAAGTTTACACCCACAGGAAAATTCTAATTTCAACCCTCAAGGAACTTATCACCTTAATTAGATTTAAAAATGTATAAATGGGACAGAAATGGGATCATTATGTCCAAGTATATAAAAATAAATATATTTTTGTTAGAAGGAAGTTGAGGGAAGAAATAACTCCCTGGAGTATAGGAATTGAAGGTCTAAGATACTTTTTTTTTTTTTTTAATTGAAACAGAAGGAAGCAGGAAAATATGAGAATCGGTAACCAATTATGCCACTGTATATGCAGCTGAAATGAACCCAAGAATAATAGATACCTATAGAATGTTAGAACTGAAAAGGGATCTTAGAGATTGATTTCCACTCACCTCTATCATTTGACATACAAGTACTCTAGGACTCAGAAAGATGAAACGATTTTCCCAGTAATACCCAACTGGCCAAAGGCAGAGCCAAAGCTACGATTCAAGTCAGCCACCTATTTGCAATGTGTTCTCTGCTATACTGAGATTAGCAAGATTCACATGTGTCTTAAGTATCATTTCTAGCCATAAGACATGTCAGTTCAGTTGGATTTGTCAGAGCTCTTTGGATGCATATATCACATGCCCCTCTGAGAATATATATTTTTGGTGAGGGAATAGAATACCATGATTGGTTAGGTTTGAGTCATGTGACAGTCCCAGAAGCCTGGTACTGAGGTCAGTGCCACCCAAATCATGTGGGCCAAGAGTGAGGGAAGAGATCCTTCTCAGGAAATAAGAAATACAGAAAGCAAAAATGACCTCATCTCCACTGTGACATGTCAAGTCCCACAGTCCTGTTACCAGTACATTCTTCTCAATTGATAAATCAATTCTTTAGGCTGTGAAGAAAAAAATATATAGCTATAACTGAACAAAATGTATAATAATGTTATAGTAATAATGATAGCTAACATTCAGAAGGTGTTTTCTATCTGTCAGGCACTGCACTAACCAGTTCTAATGCATTTGATCTTCACAAGAGCCCTATGAGAGAGGTTAGTTATAATCCCTATTCTTCTTCTTCCTTCTTCCTTCTTCTTCTTTTTTTGGTGGAGGGGGGCAGATGTAGAAGCTGAGACACAGAAAGGTTAATCAGCTTACACAAGGTAGCACAGCTAGTAAGGGGCAGCACTGGGGTTTAAATTCAGGTAGTATAACCAAAAAGTCTGAACTTAAGCTGCAGTATATACTGCATCCCATAAAAAGCAGGATTTAAAAATCTGAGTTCACATAACCATTCTGTTCTATTTTATTGCCAATGGTTAATAAAGTAATAATCATGCCCTTTATTCTATATTAGAGATAAACCCCATAGAAAACCGTGTACAAATTTAATTTCTATAGATCTAATTTGATTTTTAAATATACACAGGGACTTACTAGTAAAATAAATCCTTTTGCCTGGCCCACCAGAAATGCATGATTACTTCTTAATTTTTCTGTCTTCCAAATGCTAGTGAGTATACCTTACATTTTCCAAGAACATTATAGAACTAAGGTGAACCCTCTGCAAGGAATAGCTAGTTATCTCTCAAGCCATGGAATTTGAAAGTGGTAATGGCAAGTGAAAAGAATCAATTTTCAGCAGCATTCTAAAAGTGGTATGGAAATTTATGAAGAACTTGGGAAGGAGGTGAAGGAAGCAAAATGACTGCTGGAAGGGTGGGAGGCTTGTAACACTGTCACCAAAGGAAAGCATGTGGCAAAGCCCTCAAATGAAAATGGGAAGTAGAAAGAAACAAAATGAAGATGGAAAATTTGGAACTGTGAAAGAGATACCCAGACAAACTTATGATACAAATAATTGCTGTAATGAGGAAGGAGAAGGTTTGAGAGGATGCCACCTTTAGACTGTAGGACTAAGACATTTGAGTCCATTTAAGAAATTCAAATACATAGTTCACATCTTTAAACCAAGCATCAGCAAACTTTTCTTACAGTTTGGCACGGCTTTGTGGGCCATAGATCTCTGTCACAATTACTCCACTATGCCACTGTAGTGCAAAAACAGCCATAGACTATACATAAACAAATGGATATGGCTGTGTTCTAATAAAAATTTATTTACAAAAACAGCTAATGGGTTGTATTTGGCCTGCAGGCCATAGTTGGCCTTTAAGTCACTAACCCCATGGCCAGTTGTGCCACTTAGGATTGCTCTGTGATCTCATCTCTGGTTCCTTCCCACTC